AGTGTTTTCCTCAGTTAATCTGTGGCATCGTGGCATTTGAGCTGAGTATTTGAACCTGGCCTGAGACAGGGAAAAAGGCCGCGTAGCACTAATGACCACAATACCCGTTTAAAAAACAGCCAGTTTAGTGCATTAAACACAACCTGAAAGTGAGAAAATAGAGACTAAAGCAGATGTGCCCTTGAAAGTCTTCCATAGGGTTCTTCTGAGCCGTACAGTTGAATGGATCAGAAGCAATGCACAGCTGTCATTTCATTTTGCCCTGCTTTTGCATGTCTCTTGGTTGCATTTGAATAATTTTTTTTGTCGCTGTCACCTTTTCAGCATTTGAAAAAATAAAGGAAAAAAGTAGCGTGGTCCTAATAAATTTCGCTGTCAGTATCAGCATGATTTATGCATGTTGTAGTCATCCATGCTAATAGGTAATGCTCTGAGACGATTTCATTTTACAGCATCCTGGAGACAGTTACTAATTACATTTCTCATCACTCTATAAAGAGGTAAACAGTAGCATGTTTTGGCCCAGGCTTTGCAAAGTATCAGAGTAGTTCTGCCAGTTTAAATGTGACTATCCACCTACTTAAATACTTTGCAGAATATTTGCCTTCATAGATTAGCAAATTGAGGTGAGGTTAACCAGCTTGCTCAAGGTCATGGAGTGTCAGTGACAGAGTTAGCAATAATGGAATCCAGCCATCCTGGCTGCTGGGTCTGTGCTCTAATCATTGGATGACTCTCCCAAATAATTGCAGGTAGTGTAAACATTGGTTTACGTAAGTGCATGTTAAGGCCTTCAAAAACTTTTGGAGAAAATAAATGTTAATAGATCTGCTTCAGTCAGATCTTATGCTGTATTTGCATGTAGCTTAAAGTAATTGCAGTGCTTGACATAGGAGGGAATTTTGAAGAAGACTTTGTGGCTTATTTTGTAGATATGCGCTCAAAAGGCATCAATTTTATTGAGTATATAGTGTAGAAAGGCTTACTGTGTAGATTTAGAAGGTAGATCATGAGATATAACAAAAAATAAATTACACTGTAATTAGACAATTTTTAAAAGGGGGATGTGGAGACTATGATTGTAAGAAGGTTATCTTCTGAATAAAGTGTTTACCAGATGACATTCTGTAGAGTTATTTGCAGTTGTTAGGAAAAAAAACAACCAACAAATGCACTTGGAAGCCATGGTGATGAGGCTGTTGGAAGTTAAAATGGGAACAAAAAACTTCCTCACTTGATTTATTTTTTCAGCAGATACTTGTTAAGTAAAAACAAATCACAATCGGTGTTATTTCTGACCCTAGGGAGAAGTTACGTTTCACTTCATGTTTTTCTCTGTCGAGTTAAATTTATGAAGAAAGGGATTTCAAAGGAAATGCTGGCAGATCTGTGCTATTGTGACACCAGCAGTATATATTTAGTAACTTCAGGGGGGGAAGATCCGTATTGTGCTAAAAAAGTATCAGTGACAATTGTTTGTCTGGACTTCACAGAGCATTGGAAAGCAAGCTGGCATTGTTCAGGTGTCCCGGGTCCTGTAATGAGCAATGCATTTGACAGATTCCTGCACCTGCGGGGAGTTTTGTTGGCAGTGCTTAGAGAAGCCCATCTGCGCAGTGTAGGTCACAGACTTGAGACCACAGATCTCTGTTTTGTACAGATTTGTTTGTGCTTACCTTTCTGTTCTGCAAGTAATCATGGTCACTATTGACTGTATAAAATTTAGTGATCGTGGTGAGAATCTGCTGCGCTAAAAAAAAGCAGCCAACTTTCTTTCAAGTGAACTGGCTGGGGTGCCGAAGGCAGCCAGCTACGTAGCCTTATTCTGAACATTTACAGGAGTGCTGCTTTAGGGTTAATGTGTGCAGAGAAGTTCTGATGATACAGACTTTCTCTGTAAAAGTCTTTACAGGTTCTTGTTGACGAGTAGTGTATAAAAGGTATACTGTTACTAATGCTAAACCATCGAATCTCCCCAGCGTATGTGTAGTTTATAATGCGGTCTTTGGGAAGAGGGCTTTTGCTGATGTTACTTGGTGAGATATCCCAGCAAGGTGACTTCTAAGCCAAAATGATTGTCTCAAAAAGGATGCTGGTTGCTTGCTTAGAAACCCAGAAATTTATATCCTGAATGACACTGCTGTGGCAGCAAACGTGTTTAGTGTAGGCCTGGATTTGCCAGATTTGCTTTTGACAGTTTGAGCCATAACTTCTTATCCAGCCAAGTTAAATAAGAAAAGGAAGCAATAATGCGGTGTACTTTTTTAAGATTGGTGGCTTTTCGCCTGCAAGTTGTGGAATCCTGGGAGGTTTGCGCATTGTGTTTTCAACAGATGCATAAGAAAAACGAGCCTGTTAATAGGCTTAGTGATCCATACCTCAATTGATGTTGTGATTTGTGGGGTTTTTGGACACCTAAACACTTGCTGCTGGCCGAGCTGAAGAAACTGGAGTTGTGGTATGACGCCAGGAATCGGAATGAAACCTGTGCAGCATTTAAATAAAAAACTAGAGCATCAAAATAATTATTATAAATAATATTTTTAAAAATTTATTAAATATAGTCACTTAAAAATATCTAGCAGTAGTTTTCTATTGGTTGTACGATAGTTTAAAACATTTATTAGGAAAAAACCCTTTTTATTAATTTCAAAGATTGCATATATTTCTGTTACATGTAATGTATGCAGTATAGATATGTATGAGAACCAAAGATTCTCGCATATGCTTACTGCATACTGCATTGAGCTAACTTTTGTAAACAAAAAATTAAAAAAATAGAATTCTTAATCTTCTGCCTATGAGAAGTTTCAAAAGAAGTTTTTTTGTATTCCTACAAGCTGGCAGTTTTTCCACATTGGCTCTTCTTATAGTCTTACTATATGGAACAATGAATCCGACTTTAAAAAGTGAGACATAAAGTGAGTACATAAGTGAGTACATAAAGTTGTTAAAGAAATAATGCTTACACTTGCTGCACAAAGTGATTCCAGAGTTTTTTAATTCTTCTGAAACAAAAGGGATTCACCAGAATTCTAAGCAGCACTTGGGACCCAAATTGCCACTTACAGAGCTATTTCTTTTTCTAGACTTTTCTTAATAAGGTAGCAGAACATCAACTTGGAACACTGTCATTGGGGATTTGTTTTCAGAATATTATTAGTAGCATTTCAGTGAAGTGGAAACAAACCTGTGCTCTGGAAAGAAACTGGATCTTGGGGAAAGACATTCCAGTAAGAGCCATGAATTTAAATTTCACAGGGATGATTTCCTATTTTAAAAAAATAAATAAATTTAAAAGCTTAGTTTGTGAATAAGAATCAGAACCTGTAAATCTGAAGATATGACAGATATACTGTAGTAAACACCTAAATTTGTGTCATGTTTCAAGTATGAAACATGTATCTGGTATTTGAAATGTGAACATCATGATGTTTAGAATGCAAAAATAAGCATTTGTTTTTGATTGTTCGTAATGCTAGGGCTATTTGCTGCTAGAAACTTCAGAAACTAAATTTCTTAAGGTGCAACCAAATCTGTTTATTAGACTGGAGAACAGCTGAAATGGACGTTGTTTTTATAAAGCTTCATTGGAAATGGAAATTACAGCTAATGAGTCAGTAGGAACTTTTTTAGTATTTTCTACTATAGGATAAAGTTAAGCCTCAAAGGATATCTTCAGTTTGATAATTAACCTATAGGAGCTACAGTAAAGTATGATGTTCTTGGGGGAAAAATATATGTAGCTGTTTCACTTTGTTCTGTCTGTAGTGTGTAAAGTCAATGGTATGTGTGCTGAGGAGTCTGGCCTCAATTTTATTTTATGAAATATGTTTGGGATTGTTGCTTGATTGGGTCATGGGTTCTGGTTTTAGTTCTGGAATGTCACTCAAAATAAAACAAAACTGTGGGGGTGGCAGAGGGAGAATTATGATGGTTATACTTTGGTTAGAGACAGTGGTGGTAGAAAACCTGTCTTATTTTTTAATCAAATAATAAATCCCAAATCTGTTTGGTGTTATTCATCCCAGTTATTTTTCAATTCATTGACTGTAACTACCATGCAATGTAGTTGTAACAAGAGTTTAGTTTAAACAAGGCTTGAAGGTGTTCCCCATTCTTTTGTTCTGAATGTCTGGGATTTGACATACCTCAGTGCCTATGTGAGCAGATACCTAAGTTATTATACCTCATCCGGGAAGCTCACCACTGCAGAGATTCCTGCCTAAATCGTGACTACTGCTGCCTTACGTCTTTGTGTTTCCTCATTTCTGCTCTGTGTTTTCTCAAATGTTAGTGTTCTGAGGCAAGGATGGGATATCTTTTTGTTGTTGTTGTTTGGTTTGTGGTGCAAAGACCCAGGATAAGGAGCCCTTGTCATGGACTAGGACCCCGAAATGCTGCTATGATACACTGAAGAAGTGCTTATCCATTTATTTTATAGCAGTTTGTTGAATAGATAGAAACCCGATGGGAATATTTTTCCTATTTCCATATTTTTGAAGGAACTTAAGTAAAGGGAGATTCATAATCAAGCATCAAGATCTATATTTTTACACCTTTGTTGACTGCCTCAGTTTAGTATAGACTTATGGAAATAATCTTCTTGCCTTTTCTCTTTTTTTTCCCCTTTTTTCCTTTAGAATTGCCAAAATGCTTTGGAATTCTTAAACGATTCAAAAACTGAAGTCTCTGAGGATACAAAATCATAAGAACACAAGAAGCAGCAAGGAGGATTCAGTGCCAATGCAGCAACAAAAAAGACAGCCAGAGTTAGTGGAAGGAAATCTTCCTGTTTTTGTTTTTCCTACAGAACTTATATTTTATGCAGATGACCAGTCAACACACAAGCAGGTGTTGACTCTATATAACCCCTATGAGTTTGCCTTAAAATTCAAAGGTGGGTTTCTTAGGTTAAGTTTTATTTAAGGGTTAGTTGGCGAACAGTCCAATTATAATTCGTGTAACAAATCATATTTGTGACAAAACCAAACTCATGTCTTTACGAATTTCTGTTGATGAAGTTGGTGAGGTGTTAATTCATGATTTGTTACCACTACTGTCCTTTTCGTTGCAGTTCTTTGTACAACACCAAATAAATATGCGGTGGTTGATGCTACTGGCGCAGTGAAGCCTCAGTGCTGTGTTGATATGTAAGTAGAAGTTGGTTGGGGTTTTTTTCCCTAATGTATGACACTTGATTACCTTAATTTCTTTTATTATTTAAGATGTAGTAAATGACGGCATGCGTAGTATAAATTAAGTTGGACAAAGATATAATATTTTCCTAATCTCTTATATTCTTGTGGCCATCTGGTCTTTGCTATTATTTCACTCTAGGGCAGAGATATTACAGTATTGGAGATACTTCCTTCTTTAATTTTGTCTTTAGGCATAAATAAAATGCTAGTAAATGCATCCTGTAGTATAGTTTGTAAACCAGTAGTGAGAGTAATATGAGCCTCCGGGGTACTTTGTTGTTGTTTGTAACAAGAAAGCAAGACCCCCAGGGTTGGAATTTCTTGGTGAGAAATATTTGTTTGCAGATGGGCAAAATGAAAATGTATGCAGTTCTACTGAGCACACTTTCCTGGGCCATGTTTAAAGGTACTTTTGCCTACCTTTCACCCCAACCGCCTCTCTCGTTCTCAGATCTGTCTGTCTCCCTTTTACTTGTTTCCCCTGTGAGGTCCCGACCCAGTAACAGAGAAAAGATGAAGGCCAGTTAAGTGACTAATAATGTATAAGGTCTGTAGGCTGCTATAATTCAAAGTAGAGTAGGCATATAAGCTAAAATAGCCCAATTTTTTTCATCTTCCATTTGCCACATTATTTCTGTGCTGATGTACAGATAGAGCTAAAGAAAGTATGAAGTACCTAAAAGAGCAGACTGAGCTTTCTGACTAGAAATTTGCAAACTGTAAAACACCTTCTGGAATCTCTGGCTAACAAATGGCCATATACAAAAGACCCTGCTATTGGATGATCCATCTTTTGTCAGATAAATAATACTGTGCTTGGGGAATGGCTCTTTCCTGTAGACTGTTTTCCTTAGGTAGAATTTGGAAAATTCCAAGGACTCACCACATAGAAAGGAAGTTTAAAAATTTTCAGTGGGCAGGGGCAACAATCCTAAAAATGGAACAAAAGAGGTCAGAATATACCAGTGTATCAGTGAGCTATTCCAGTCTTTAGCAGACATTTACACAAGCTTGATTACATTTGGTTCATCTTAAACAAATGTCTTTTATTAAATAAAGGAAAATAAGACATATGCATGTTTCCAAGGGAATTTTTTGTACAGCAAAACCCCATCCCATTGCAATGGTTGCTGTCTAAGGGCAGTGTTTACTGCTAGGATATGAGCAGTACTATGCAAGTATGGCCATTTGCCAGCTAAACAGATACTATTCTACGGAGCTTCCAATTATGCAATGGTCTCTAAAAAGAAACAGGAGAATGTATCTGTTTATAAGGGTCTGCAGAAAACATCTCTCTGCTTGGCAGCAGACGCATGTTCTCATAGCACAGTGTTATGTAAAGATTCTGTTTAGGTTGGTAGTTCATACCATGATACTAAGAGTAGAAACAAAAATCTAAAAGGAGTGTTAAAGGAAGAAATAAGAACTGAATCTGCTGTTCTGATATGCTAAGAGTTGTATGAATTAGGATTGTCGGGGGGAAAAAGCCTTTTGTTTTAGTGAAGGCAGTTGCCCAGCCAACACTCAGCTAGCTGAAAGCCTGTCATAAGCGCACTCTTTTGCCTCCAAAGTGACGTAAAACTACATACATTCCTGCAGCCTTCTCACTTGGGGGATGACTTAGTCTCTGTTTCCTTGTTGAATAGTCTATTCAAACTAGATACCAGTTCCAAGCACTGGCTATGTGTTAATGATTGTAGATATCTTGATGTGATACTTTAAATGAAGACTGAAACACAAAAATCTGTTTCTCGCAGCAGTTTAATGTATATATTATTACAAAGATAGGTTTCTTGAAGCAATTTTAAAACTACTATCTTGTGTTACTAAGGGTAGAATCATTTTTTTCCCCTCAGGAGATGGCAACCTTCTTGAAGCCAAATCATTTATATGTAGGTATTTTTTCAGATTAGCTATTGTTATCTTAGAAATTTAGAATAGCCTTTTACAAAAAAATTTTTCCACTTTGGAAAAATAATTAAAATCCATATTAACCCTAAGAGCTGATATGACTTCAAAACCTAAATGTTATAGCTTTTTAATGCTAGATACGTATTTTCGTAATGAATCATAAATGCAGGGAGGAGGTAGTTGAGCAGAGCACTGCTCAGAGGTCTGTATTGCCTTTAATCAGTGTTATTTTAAAACTGTGCCTTTTGTAGGTCCCACATAGAATTTTTCCCATGAAATGCCATAAAACTATAAGGAATGCAACAACTATCACCCTGTCTTACTGTTGAAGCCATCTTGGTCAACGTATTCAAAACAGTAGAGCCACAGAGTGGTTGCTGGACAGTGAGAAGGCTTACCAAGAAATAACGGACTCTCTAGCTATGATTCAGAGAGTACCTCTACACTGCAGTCCGAGTTGTGATTGCAGCTTGTGTAGCTACACCCGGCCTCGCTCTTGTTAGCTAGTGAAGTATCTGCAGCATCGTGCATTTCAATGCAGGCCATGAAACGTGCTCAAGGTAGCTAGATTGATGAGCAAAGCTCTGACAGCACAGAGCTCTACTATTGATATCCAGATTTACTCACTGAAAGACAGGTGAGAAATGTTTGTGTAGATACATAGTTGTCATTTTTACTGCATTGCTACATGCTCTTATTGGTGGGCTGATTTTGAAAATCCCTTTACATCTAGCTGACTCTTGAATGTAAAGGGAATGAGTTTTGCTTCTGAGAAATTGTAAAGCTCTGAGCCTGGTTTCCTCAAAAAGCTAGACTTTTGCCATTATCTGTCCAAGTGTTTGGCAGTCTTACTTTTCTTCTTTCCTTCCCTGTCCACTCCAGTCCCCCCATATCTTTTAAAATCATTGGCCAGCATCAAACAACTTTGATAAAGGAGGAGGCATCTTTCAGATAATTGATGTTTCATGCAAATGGACAGCTAGGCTTCAGATTGAGGCAAAAGTGTGCTTGAGATAAATAATTAATTGGGGTTTTTGGCGAGCCAATTGGAGCAGGTATATTTGAGAACGAGGGCAAACATAGGGAGAGGAGCGAGAAGGCAAGATCAAATCTTCAAGAGTGTTGAGTGAAGGAGGAGGGAATGGGGGATCTGTTCTATTGCAGTGTATCTGTGTATGGGGGAAAGAGGGGAAACATCGGGATGTAGGGCATAATTCCACAGGAGACATGCTTTTTATTAGTTCCTCTATTTGAAAATGTTGTTTTCCTCTGCAGTGTGATTCGTCACAGAGATGTTCGGGCTTCTTACTATGGTGTGATAGATAAATTCCGTCTACAAGTGTCTGAGCAGAGCCAGAGGAAAGCATTAGGGAAAAAGGAGATTATTGCTACTCTACTTCCATCTGCAAAGGAACAACAACAACAAAAGGAAGAGGAGGAAAAACGAATAAAAGAACACCTGGCTGAAAGTGTCTTTTTTGAGCAGACTTTGTGTCAACCAGGTAGCTGAAATCTTTTACCCCTCCTGTCTCCTGAATCAGTTATGAATAGCTCAAGCGACTGGAAAGCCTAGACTAAAATAAATTTTAAAATAAGTCTTTTTACTTATCTGTAAGACTGCTGTCTTTATCACTGGGGAATGATAGTGCCCAAGAACCCAAACTATGGCTATTCTGCTCATGCTGTCTTGATTAATCAAGACTCTTTACTGCCCCAGGTTTGCATGTCATACCTTGGAGAGTACGTCCTCTATTCCTCTGGTGCAGAAGTTCTGTTACAGCCAATGGGAATTTATCTGCAAAAGGATGGTAGTTATTTTTTCCCTTGGGCTCTTTCAGAACATATGCCCCTTCTGAGTTTGTTCCAAACCCTTAATCCTCCATTTCCTGATGAGCAGGAAATATTGCCAAAACATCTTCTAAAGTGCTCCTTGTTCTGCACCATCTCATTTGTCTGTCTCACAAGTACAGAAAAGCACAGTTGCTAGCTGAAAACTCTTTGCACATTTCATACGTGAGGAAGTGAATCCACAGTCTTGGGCAAAACCTGGACCAAACAGTTAAATTGAAGTGGTAGGAGGAGATACAAAAAGTTTTACTGGAACTGAATCTAAACTGATTCTTGACTTGGCAGTCTACATTCTTGTTACTTTTACTGATATATACTGTAATATTCTTGTCAATGTTTTATTTTTCATGACAAGAACAAAAATCAATTCTAGAAAATAGATGAACCTGCTTGAGAGTGTCCCTCTTGTTAAAACTAAACTGTTTCACTATTTATACATAGTTTGTTGGCTGGTGAAACATCTTTTACTAAAAAAACCCTGAAGATTGGTTAGTAGGATACATGGTTAAAGCAAACCTACAAGATCTCTGGGCTCACAGAACAAAATGTTACTATGATAGTTGTTCTGGTATAGAGGGTTTGAACCAGCCTGAACAATCTGATACTGGTCTTAATCCAAATGCTATTTCTCTACTTAAAAACTTTGTTGACTACATTATATTGCTTGCTTACAGAAAAACAGTAAACAAAGCAACTACAGTCTTTGCATATAACCTGCAACCTAGAAATAACAGCTTTATGGAATTAAAACAGGACACATACTGCTACTCACTGGGGATAGAAAAACTTCATAAAAACATCGGCTAATTTCCAATGGGTCTTAGGAATTTGGTTAGAGGTATTCAACTAACATGTTAATAGCTCTTTTCAAAGATGATACAGCGTGCCTTTGAGTAGGTTCCAGCTGTTAAACTGCAGCGCAATGAAGAGTATGAAGGACAGTTCACCTATAGTTCGCATTTCCTTATTCTGCTGGTATGGGACTATCAGAATGGTTCACTCTCACAGTTTTTAAAGTAAGATTCAAATATTACTAATTTGTGGCACATAAACTGGTTCTGGCAGGTGCAGCCCTTGAATTCTCTAAAGAAAGGAGAATGCATCTGGCCCAAGAACTTGTGCTCTTGCTGTAGCCAAGTTTTGTTCTGGAGCTGTAAGCAGAGTTACCTGCCTGTGCAGCTCCTTTAGGCGTTCTTTCCTAATTGATTACTAATCACTAATTACTAATAAGGAACATATCAAGGAATGGAGTCAGGATGCATGGTGAAACCTCAAGTGTTGCTGAAACATCCAGCTGTCACGAGTGTGTATATATAGCTACTGGGCCTGGCAGGCTCTGTTCCTCCAGAAGGGAGGGGTTTGGGAAGTCATGTGAAAACAAGTTCCAGCACCAGAACAGGGAGCAGCCTTCCCCACTGCAAAATGCAGAAAGTTTAGGAGGGTGGGTTTAAGAGGTGTTTTCCACCTCTTCCAAACTCCAAAGGGGAAAGAAAATCTCAGGATATTGCAGCTCTAATGTACCGCAAACATTTTTGCAGAATATTTAACACTTATATTGGGTAGATATTCCTTAAAATTGGTACCATCTTGTTTTCCAGAAAACAGAACTGCCTCGTCAGGACCTAGTTTACTAACAGTCTTCCTAGGAATAGTGTGTATTGCAGCACTAATGCTACCTACATTGGGGGAAATGGAATCCCTGGTGCCTCTCTACCTCCACTTAAGTGTGAATCAAAAGTTAGTAGCTGCTTATGTTTTAGGTAAGTATTTTGTTTTTTGTAAATGTTTTCGTGCAAATTCTGTGATTTGGGAAACTTCTCCCATGTTTGCCAGTGGCTTCAGGAAACTTGATGGAGACGAAGCACCACATTACATTTTGTTTTGCATCTCCACTTATATTTTAACTTGCAGCCATAGCAATATCAGCATAAATTAGTTACTCTAAGTATTTTAGACCAGATTTTAGTTGATATTTATTATATACAGGCCCCTACACGTTAATTTCACCTTTATTTGGTGACTGGCCAGCTGTACTCATCTGCCAACAAAACTGAATGGAATGTGCTGTTTCTTACTCTTATATTGAAGTAGAGTTACTCTATTGCAGAACCTAGATCTCTTCTGTTATTTTATTTCTCTCTCCAGCCCAGATGAGCTGGTCTGAAAGGCTCCAATCACTACCTTGTTGATAAGCAGTTGAAATGTGTAGAAATAAGTTTGTAAACCCTTCCTGAGAGACCACTACCATCCACAATTCTTCCTGATTTGTAACTTGCTCCTAAATTAGCAAGCACAGATAAGTTGCACATTTCATCTGTTATGACTATTTTTCTATAACTATTTCAGATTTGAAGAACAGTCACTCTAAACTCAATTCTCCTCTCCCACTACCTGGCAGAAATGAGGATTTAAAGGAAACAAGCTAGGCAGCTTCAAACTGATAGCTAGAGGTGAGGTAGTGATGGGAAAAGATGCAAGTTCTTGATGGTTAATGCGCACACTCAGCTGACTGACTCATGCAAGTCAGTCTGCTGAAATGGTTTGAAAACACCCTTGTTGCTAACCAGAAGCCAACATCTTTGCCTGAGCCCATGGTGATGTATTTTCAGATCAGAACCTTGCAGTAATCCTTGCTTTATTTTTATCTCTAGTTTTGAAAATTACTCCAGTGTCTGCTGGTGCCAGCTGTAGTATTAAAACATTTGACTTCATATATTTGCAGCAACTTACTTGTTTCTAGATTCACTATGAAGTTCTAACAGGCTTTGATTCCTTTGGTAGCAGTGTTTTCAGTGTTCATGAAAAAGTGATTCTTCTGTATGCAACTCTTGCTCATCTAGAGAGTTGATTGCCCTTGAGAAGGTGAAACCACTTTTCTTCCACAACAAAGTACAACTAGATTGTGTAGCATTTAATTGGAAAGGGACGTTAATACCACACCAACTGGGCTGTACGACATTTGAGAAGTATTTGCTTTACAGAAATGAGTTAAGCTCTTTATTGCCTGGAAGTCCCTATAGAAGTGGTATAGGCTGCCCTGTAGCACCTTCCAGAAGCCTCTGTTATTACTCTGCAATGATTTAGATAATCCAAGCTAAGGCCTACAGTAGTTCTGGTAGTACGGGTTGTCTAAGCTAATACAGACCTTAAGAAATAGCGGAACTATAATTCCTCTTTAGTGGATAAATTGCTTATTCAATGGAAGGCAGCATTACAACTCTGTTCTGTTATACTTCTATCTTCAAAATCTTTATAAAGTAAATAAGTTAAATCAGTACGTAGTGGCAGGAGAGTAAAAAAGTCTCAGAAATTTCTTTATCCGTGGTGAGCTAAGCTCTCTGCAGTGAAAGGCTATTATATTAACATCATCTGAGCCTGCAAGAAAATAAGATTGCCTAAGAACTGATAAATTACTATTTTGATGTTATGTAAGGTTGGAATTCAAGGAGCCCTAATGTTTTTCCATATGTCTCTTTGCCTTGTGCAATATAACTCATGGCTAAGAACTTGCAGATTTGTACCTTTTCCAGTATCTGCACATAATTAAAGTGAACTTTTCAGTGTGTCATGAGTAGGTTTATTAGCCCCACATTTCCTACTTTCATCTGTTTTTAATTGTTTTTAACCTCTGTCAGAGCAGTTCTTTTTTTTTCCTCCCTCTTTAAAGGTCACAACAAAGAGTCTATAGAAAGCTCCCTATGTAGACTGACAAGGAAGCTGAACATCTTTGTCTAAAACTAGTCTTTGATCAGTTACTCTGCACAGAACAGAAACAAAAATGTCTTGGAGCCTTCAGCTAATCTTCCTTGCTGATGATTCAGCATTTGAATTACGTTGCCCATAACTAGCCCCCAAGAAAACTGGTGGCTTGTGTGCTACTGTTACACTTACTTAAGTCAAAATCTCAGTATTGTGATTTTCCAGTAGTGAAATCGATAATTGTTTGGAGTATTTATAGCTTCTTTGAAGTTTAGTTACTAGATACACTGCACTTCAGTGTTTTTTTTTACACAGACTTTGACGACATCAAAATTCAGAGCAGTACTTCCGTATTTAAGTGAAGTGTATATATAAATCCATTCTGCATCTATTTATGCACTTTTACCTTATTTTCTGGCCTGTGACAGGGTAAACTGTCTTGTCTTTATTTTAATGTTTTATTCAGTGAAATTGAAGTGTTTAGTTCTTAATTCTTGTCTTTCAGGTCTCATCACCATGGTTATTTTGAGAACATGAGCAATGAGTTAACAGGATGTCAAACTCCTTACTGTATATTCACATCATGAATGTGGACTGCCTTTTACTCCCATTTGGCTCATTAAGATGCTAGCAAAACTGTTCATTGATTTAAAATACCTTCAGAAGTGTAATATATTTTAACTATGTATAATAAATGAAAGACTCAAAGCACTTTTCGGTGCTTCTGTAACAGACAGCTATGAAATGTTCAGTGATACCTGTGAAAATAATTTGAAAAACTTTTATATCTATGCCTACTGTAAAAAATCCTTATTAAAGCAACATTTGTTATTTTTAGTCTATGTTCACATCAGTGCGTGATCACTATAAAAGCAAACTGTCTTATGTAAAATGTTCATTTGGTTTGTGGTTGTACATGCTGAGGCTGGTGCATAACACTTCTGTATACATACCAGAAGGATGAGAGTCATGACTAATCATTGAAGAAAATGAAAAATTCCATCAGTGAAACTCTGAAATAAACTATGAATTTTAGGTGAAGAAGTAATTCTCAAATTCCTTACTTCATTACAAATCATTGTTGAGTGCTCATTTTCTTACCTGGGGAAATAATTTCTGCAACAGCCATTTTGTATCACAATTGTAGACAATAAAAACAAGTTCTCTAATCAGATCCTTTCATTTCTTAGGGATGCATGCAATATGCGAACGAAGTGGCATTATCAGAAGTTGAACTCACACTGCACACTAATACAAAATTCTGCATTTTTTTCTGTTTTAGAGACTAAGTATAGCAACAAAGGCATTCCTCTACACCTTCCCTTCCCCCTCACAGCTAAGAGAGGGGATTTCTTTTGTATCAAAAACAGTTTTATATTCTAGGTGCACATTGATCTTGTTTCATTTAACAACTATTTCCCTTCATTTGACATTGCATTGTCGAGATGTTAAAAATACTTCTGCTGAAGGGCTGCTGTTACTGCATTTGATTCATACACACAAATCTGTATAAGAAGTCTATATAATATGCTCTGATCTATATAAAAAACATTCTGGAAATTAAACTTTCTTTCCCCCTGCATGTTATGGGTCACATTTCTGTTTATGCATGGAAGTACAAAGAAACCATGCAGAAATGAGTGTTGTTTAAAAAAAAAAAAAAAGGAGAGAGGTTGAATTTAAGTTGTTAATCGCTGTACATTTTTTCTTACATATAATACAACTCAGTCTCTATAAGGCAATAAAATGTAACTTTAGTTTGATTCTCAGAAGAACTGAGATTGTGTCATCTATCAGCGTCAGATGATAAAGAAACAGTCAAACATTAACATCTGTAAAAAAAAAAAAAGTGTTACTAACTGGTTTGAGAACTCGGTGTTCTAGAGCCCGTGCTGCAGACACCGTGCTTGCCTCCAGTTACAGACACTGAGATCGTGTTTGGGCGCAGTGCGTTCCTGCATGCTTTACCTTCTCTGTTAGTCTTTAGTACCTACGCTGTTAATTCTGATTTTCATGAGGTGGTTTAACCTGCGTCTTCTTGAGGAGGGGCGAGGGAACTGAAACAGTAGTTAGGGCAATGAAACTGCCATGTGGTACAATAGTCTGGCTGTTATTTACGACACCTGCATTTGCACATGGGCAAGAGTAGCAGGACTTCACACAAGACGATGTCTTAAAGGCCCAAGCTGATTTAAAAAAAAAAAAAACAAAACCAAACCTTTTTCCCCCCCATATCCTGGAGTTCCAGTCATGGGCCAGGATCATGTTTTGCCCAGCACTTGCAGCAGTACAGAAGAGAGAGAATCCCACATCCAGGAACCGAGTCACTATAACCAAGTCTTGACGCCTTAGTCTCGCGGGACAGTGCGCACACGAGACTCGGGAAGTGAAATTACAGGACAACAGAGACCCAGGTTGCCAGCATTCATTTTCAAGGAATTTAAAGAGAAGCGATTGGTTTAGAAAAACACCTTGACTAAAGAAATCAGTAACAAAAAGTTATCAGCAACCAAAAAGACTGTAACATCGGACCATTTCTTTTCCAAGGCCAGGCGAGGCGCGATACACAGATAAAAAAGATTAAATGCACAGTGTAACTCAGCAGATGCAGATAAAACTGGTGCTTGGGCAAAATAAGCACGACGTGAATTTTGACTTCTTTCTACTTCAGGGAGATTACAGCACACTATAATCACAGATTTATTCCAGCTTTGGGAAGACAAGACCTGAGGACAGTTTCAGTTCAGCACTGTGAGGGGGAATGTATCAACTCATGTTACAGCATGGTCACAGGGAGACATGAGTAAAATTTTACCAGGTGGATACGCAAGATTTATAAGATATTTTCTGAGAGAGAGAGAGATAGAGAGAGATATATATGCATGCGCACACCTCTAGTACTTACTTGGTAGGGTTATGGAAAACACTGAATGCCTTTGGAAATAAGACCTGAGACAGTGAATATGCCTCCTCTTAAAAACACCAGGAAAACCAGTTAAGTGTTCACGTCATTTCCCATTCCTGACTCTTAACACAAACAAAACAGTCATTTCCTTGAAATGGAAAAGTATTTTGAGCCGACAGTTAGGAGGGCTTTAAGATCATCCAGCAGAAACAATCATCTTGTTTACCCAGCACTTGCTATGGCACCGATATCTCAAATAAGCAACGCTGGCAGGCAAGAAACGAGAGCGCTCCTGAGATCACTTTCATTAGCGTCACTCCTAGTAGCTATAGGCTTGGTACATGATCTCCTCTAGGTGTTTGCACTCGTCTGGATCAGAAAATGCTTAGACGTCCCTATTTTCTCTGAAGGAGCGAATCACAGAATGCTTAAAACAACAATAGACCCAATATAACTGTTTCAGAGCTCCAGGGACAGATGGGGCTTTCAGATAATCAGTTCATTTACCAGGGATCGCAGCTGACGGAGCCCCCAGAGACTGGAGAGTGGGTCAAGCAGCCTCACATGGAGATCACCTGGAAACAGATCCAGTCCCTGCAAAGGGAAATGCTGAGCTACTGCTGACATTTCTCAAAATGTGCCCCAGGAAGATAACCAAGCATGCTGTCAGACAGTAACAGTCACTGCTCTTCCTTAAACAGCTGAACAGTGGCATTTGCAGCAGCTCCAACAGAAGCCTGTGCACAGAACTGTGCCTTCAACAACAAAGCAGAGAAATCCTTTCTGGAATCAGCTAGCTAAGAATTGTCAGTGTCAATCGTATGTTATTTCATTTTATGTTCACATGTAGCAAGTATCTGATAACCAACAAGCCTAAACTGGAAAGAGGCTGCCAAATAGGTTTGGCAATAAATCACTATATTTTAGTCCTCATTTGTCAATGTATATTTAAGATACCTGGCTTTCCTTGTAACAGCTTTCCTTCTAAATGCCAAGTTCCATCACCCCTTTCCTTTGTCAGGAATATGAATCTCGTACTTAAGACTTAGATGCATTGGCAATCCATCCCACTGGTAGGGCAAGACTACAGAAGGGAACTTGCCCAAGCCCGTAAACCAGATGCAGGAATATTTTGTTTACAGGAAGAAAGCTTCTCAGGTGCTGAGTGATCTATGTTTCATAGGGCTTGTGGTGATCCAGGGCAACCTCAAAATTCAGGGACCAAGCTGTATAGGAGGTCCTAAAAAAAACCCCAAAACCTTAAATCATCCTCTCTGCCAGGAGGGAGTTTGAGTTCTTGGGTCTTCTGCCCTCTGACCTTGTACGAGACCCTCCTGGCCGAAAAATGTAGTAAGGGAACAGTCTGCAATACAAATCATTCAGGGCTGTGTAATTCTGGTATTTCATCCTCCTGCCTAGCTGCCTGCAGAGATAGGGGCTGAGTGGCCGTAGAAAAACTGGTTCTCTCCTATGTCCCTGTGAAACAGGGCACTTGCCTCCTCACGGTCGTGCTAGAGAAGGCACTGTCTCTCATGGGAGCCTGAGGACAGACATCTGAAGTTAATGGTGCTGGCGACAGAGTCCATCTTCCTTGTACGCACAGCTTGCTGCCTGAGGAAATTAAATTAAGACTGAAACCGTTGAAGGAGAGTGAAGTATGCTGTTGCCAGCAGCGTATCACTTGCTTATTACTGCTCCACATAAGCTAGTGAAGATTGGGAAACCATTGCTACACAGTCTAGCAAGAGCCATTTAAAGATAACGAGCATATAAATGAAAGGAGTCTAGAGAACCTGTGTATCCTCAAAAAAAAGTACTGGAGGTATGAACACAGGCAGGAGACACTCACAGCATAACAACTAAAGCCAAGTAAGGGGATACACTCACTTTTGGGTCTATTTTTGTGTTCTATAGAACACAACCTTGCAGAACCTCTCTGCTGTAAGCTAACCAGCTGTTTACTTTAAATAATGAACTGTAGCTAATGCATATCAGCTCTTGAAAATTTGCAAAGCTCTATAACCATGCTGACAATATAATGTGGAATTACATGCAGGCAAAGTAATGCACTCTGGTCTTTGAAACAGCAGAGACTCTGCAAAGGAATGATTTAAGCAAGAGCATAACCATTATTACAGCAGCACAATCAAAGCAGTGGATAATCTCCTCACTGCGAGGAAAAAGGCTGGTAAGGCCCACCTGAGTAACAGGCTCCCTGTAACACCTCTGTTGTGGAATATAAATTCAGACACACGTAACTGCAGTCATCCTGATCCTAGCAGAACAAGTCATACCAAGAAGCAACAAAGATGACTGATAAAATGCATATCAAAGATAAAGAATAAAAGAACCAAGAGTCTGTAATGGAACTTAAATCCATGTTTACAGTTTAAAAAAAAAAGATTAATTAACAATACAATTTACAATAACAAAATACAATTTACAATAACAACATGAGAGCATTCTTCTCTAGGAAACTGCAGATTCTCTAGGTGGCTTGAAGCACGAACATCAAGGCATTAGACTAGCATATGTTTTGACAAACAAGAAACCACCATCAAGAGACAAATAAAACTCTGCAGTTAAGGCTCTGGAATCCCATGTTCCATCAACATCACCAAACCCATTAGCGCCTTTCCCTTAGGAATCTGCCAGGAATCTCCAAAATCAAAACCGACTGCTGAAGCGAATGCACTTAAAATGAAAGGATCTTGATTTATTTTTAGCAGGAAGTTTCTTGCAGCAATTTCAGTGCCACACAGCCTGATTTAAGCTGGCTTGAAAGACAACACAGCATACTATTTCTGTGCCACAAAAACCAATGCATGATATGCACATCATGGTTTTGGTTCTTCTCCACACAAGGGGAAAAAGTAATCATGAGAACCACATTTCCAAAGAGTAGTACCTGCAGCAAAAACTGCTCCCGCTTGAGCAGCTCTTCCTACTTGACATCCACCAAAATTCTCAACATTTACATGCCATTATTAATCATGGAAGGAAGTCTTAAATAACGAGCATTTTCCAAGGCTCTTACAAACCAAGTAAAAGAAGAAGAAACTAAACTGTAAGAAGAATTTTAAATTTGATAAATGCCAGATTTGTCTGAGGAATCTTCACGGGATTGGGGAAGTCTCACCAGT